AGGGCAAGAACCAGATAATTACCTCTGCTGGCCCAAGGCTATACCGACACCCACATCTATGATCACTGATATGGTGTGAGCTCCTCCCTTATCCTTCACAAGCAGCCAATGACCGGAAGTGCAGCCACCCACCTCCAACCACCTGACCATGGGTTAAACACCCTCTTCACTGTCAGTGCTCTGCCTGCTTTTTTTCTGTTTTATCCTTCTTTCATCTTACATCTTCATTCTCTCCCTCATTTTTCTTTTCTATTCTTTCTTTCTCTTCCCTCCTTCCCTTTTCAAAAAATATGTATGTATATATGCTTTTATCTGATCCCGCAGAGCAGGAGCCCTGCTAATGGAGCTGCCATAGTCAGCAATGTCCACACCTGCCCTTTCCCGCAAAGCGATACACATTCCCACAGAGCAAGTGCTGTATTCCTGCTGCAGCCCTGTTTGGTGGCAGTCACTTGCACTGGCACTATGCTTTTCTTTATCTTTGTTCTTCTTTATTAGCACTTCTCACTTCCTCCAACTTAGATTTTATCTTCTTTTTCTCTTACCACCTCCCCCCGCCCCTTCTTTTTTTGATTCTACACAGTGGATGCCTGCCTCTCATTGATGGTATGGTCAGCAGTGCCAACCCTGTCCTTACATGCACATGGTTGTTATCCCCAAGAAATTGTGACATTGTTGTATTTTTATTTAATTGGTGATTATATATTGGTGTGATTCACTGAAGTTTTTTTTTCCTTTGTTTTTTTATGATATATCTGAATAAGCAAAGTACCTTGCTCCTTTAATTTCTAGTTGGCAGCACTTAGGCACTCATCACCTGTCTCCTAGTGGGTGTGATAGAGAATGAGAATGGGTGCACAAATCTCTGTTAGCTGTTTGTAAAGGGCAGTTAAGAGTAAGTCTGGCTGATATTGACTGGTGTCTATTGTCGGTCAGTTGATGCAAAAGCAAGTGTTGGCCCTCACTCAGTAGGTGGGGCTGTAGGAGGTGCAGGTATAAAAATACAGAAGAAATGGACAAATTTTTAGAAACACACCACCTACCTAAACTAATATGGAATAAGGTGGAAAATGAGAATAGACCCTTTTTAAAAACCAGATCATTAAAATATTCCAATAAAAAAATGTCCTGGCCCAGGCAGTTTCACTGGTGAATTTCAGAAATCATTCAGAGAAGAGCTGACACCAATTCTACTATCACTATTCCAGAATACATAAAAGGAGGAATACTCCCAAAATTGTTTGGTGAAGTGAGCGTAACCCTGATAACAAAGCTAGGCAAAGACACCACTAAAAGAGATAGTTATAGACCAATATCCTTCATGAAAATACACATAAAAATTCTCAGCAAAATTCTTGTCAACAGACTCCAACAATATATTAAAAAAAAAAAAAAAGTACGTCATAACTATCTGGGATTCATACAAGGTATGCAAGGATGGTTCAACATTAGAAAAACAATCAACATAATCCACCATATAAATAAAATAAATGAAAACAATTACATGATCATAGCATTGGATGCAGAAAAGACATCTGACACAATCTAACACCCATTTCTGATAAAAGCATTCAACAAAATAGGAACAGAAGTAAAATTCCTCAATGTAATTAAGAGCATATACACATTAGTCTCAATGGAGAGAGACTTAAAGCATTCTTCTTGCCAATGGGAACCTGACAAGGATGCCTTTTATCACCACTTCTATTCAATAGGAGCGCTGGTAGCATAGTGCCTAAGGCACTTGACTGCTAACAAAAAGGCTGGCGATTCAAACCCACCAGCCACTCCTCGGAAGGAAGATGAGGCAATCTATTTCCGTAGTGATACTGCCTCGGAAACCCAAGGAGGGGTCACTAGGAGTCGGATCCGACTTAACGGCACGTAACAACAACAACAACATTCAATATTATATTGGAAGGCCTACCAAGAACAAACAACAACAAAAAGCAATAAAGGGAAATAAAGGCATCCAAATTGCAAAGAAGAAGTAAAATTATCTCTATTTGCAGATGATCTGATCCTATACATAGGAAATCCCAGAGACTCAGCAAGAAAATTACTAGAATTAATTGAAAGATTCATCAAAGTGGCAGGGTATAAGATCAACACACAAAAATCAGTAGAATTGCTTTATACTGACAAAGAGAACTCAGAAGAGGGACACAAGAAAATAATATCATTTATAAGAGCTACTCAAAAAATGAAATGCTTAACAATAAATCTGAACAGAGATACAAATAACCTATACAAAGGAAAGTACAAAACACTAAGTATAAGAACTCAAAAGAGACCTATATAACTGGAAGACTTTATCATGCTTAAGGACAGGAAGACTTAACACTGTGAAAGTATCAATACTAAGCAAAGTAATCTACAGATGTATGTAGGGGCAAACTTAGGGGCCCTAACACATGGCATAAATACAGTATCAAACATAACTAAAAATACATAAACAGCAGAAAACAAACTAGATCACCGGGACCTCCTAAAAATTAAACACTTACGCACATTAAAAGATTGCAACAAAATATTTCAACAAAAAGAGAACCCACAGACTAAGAAAAAAATTTGGGTAAAAACATATGGGACAAGGGACCAATCCCTAAAATTTAAAGAAAACTCCAATAGCTCAACAATAAAAAGACAAATAATCTAATTAAAAACTGGCAAAGGAAATGAACAGACACTTCACCAAATAAGACATTCAGGTGGCCAACAAACACATGCAGAAACTCTCAAGATTATCAGATCAGACATTAAAGAGATGTAAATCAAAATAACAATGATATATTATCTCACCCAAGCATTAATCGTAAAGTTCTTAAAAAAAGAAAAAGAAACAACAAATAATGGCAAGGGTGTGGAGGGACTGGAACCCTCATACACTGTTGGTGGGAGTATAAAATGGTATACTTTGGAAAACAGTATGGCACTTGCTTAAAAAGTTGGATATAAAAATATCATGTGATCCAGCAATCCCACTACAAGGTATATCTCCTACAGAAATGAGATGGAATAAGAATGGCTATATGCATACCCATGTTTATCACAGCACTGTTCACAATAGCAATAAAATGGAAACAACCTAACTGCTCATGGTACATACATGCAACATTAAAGAATAATGATGAATCTGCAAAACACCTCATGACATGGATGAGCCTGGAGGACATTATGCTGAGTGGAATTAAACTCTCACTGCCGTCGAGTCGGATCTGATCCAGAGAGACCCCTCCTTGGGTTTCTGAGGCGGCATCCCTACAGAAGTAGATTGCCCAATCTTCCTTCTGAGGAGTGGCTGGTGGGTTTGAAGCTCCAGCCTTCTAGTTAGCAGTTAGATGCCTTAGGCACTTAGTCAATCATAAAAGGACAAATATTGTATGAGGCCACTATTATAAAAAGTCAAGGAAATTTTTTCACAAGAAAGAAATATTCTTTGATGGTTACTGGGGATGGGAGAGGAAAGAAGGCTAAATCACTAGCTAGAGGTAGACGCATATTAACTTGGTAAAGGGGAAGGCAAAATACAGTAAGGGGGAGGTCAACACAAAATGATCAAGGAGGAGCATAAGAGTTAAAGGGAATAGAGGTGAATACTATTACATACACAATCCTGCAGTAACAGTAGTAACAATGATCTATGAGCAGATATACAGATAGACTCACAAGATGAACACCTGTGAAGCAAATGGGATTATACCTATGAACATATATAGGTTTGATGGAGGATACTTCTACATATCTGTTTACATATGGTACAAATATATACCTGAACACATGAGAACATACAGGGGGCAAAAGTATGAAAACTTTTTAGCTATAAACAAACACCTTGAGAGAACGAGTCACTGGGACTGGGGGCTTAGAACCACACACAGTCTTGGGGGACATGGTCAACTGGGTCAACACAGTCCACAAAGACAATGTCCACATCCAACCAAAGTTGGGTCTTAAAATCTTGTGAGTGGCCATCTATCTTCCCCTTCTGGAGCAGAGAAGAGTAAAGAAAATCAAAGACATATGGCAACAATTAGTCCCAGGGACCAGTGGACCAGGAGAAGCTCAGCCTACATGACCCTGAGACCAGAAAAACTAGATGCTGCCCAACTACCACTACTGACCACTCGGAATGGAATCACATTAGAAGATCCAGGACAGAGTGGGAGAAAAATGTGGAACAAAACTGAAAAATCATAGAGACTGATGGTACCTCTGAGGCTATGGCCCCTTAGTCACACTTCCAAGCCTGGAACTGATCTCATCCCTGTGGTTCAACTTTCCACCAAAAAATTAAGAGGTGTATAAGGTGAACTACGCCACCAGGGAAGTATGTATCCACATCAGACGGGTATAGCATCTGCCCAAGTGCAAAGTTCAGAAGGCAGTAAGGGATGGGAAAGATGAAGGAATGGAAACAGAAACATAGGCAGGAATTGAGATGAGTGACGTTACATTGTGGGGATTGTAACCAGTAGCATGAAACAAAATGTGCATGAATTGTTGAATGGAAAACTGATTTTCTCTGTAAACTTCCAACCAAATTACAACAAAAAAATAATGGAAATAAAAAGTAAAACATCAAACCCCTACTGAGGTCCTACAAGTAAGAGAAATACAGTATGATACAAGTTCCTTTTTACTTTTAAAAAGATGGGCTACAATAAGCAATGAAGTAAAATATGTAACTGTAAGAAAATATGCAAATGCTGTTTCACTACCATTGTTTTGAAATTTTTCTGAAAATTTCAAATTTCCATTTCAGATCACCTGAAATAGAGAGCCTGCACAGGACTAAAGTTTCATAACCTACTATATATTTTGTTCATTATTGAAGTGTTTGATACTGAAAATATAAAGATATTTTTTATATGTACCCAATATCTGGTTATATGAATTTAAGGATATCCAGTTTTTATTAAATCAAAACTAAGATTTTAAAAGTAAAAAGAAAACCTACAAAGTGAATTTCAGTACTATAAAATTTGGGGAAATGGTACCTCATCAGTGTTGTAGATAATCTGGAGTCCTGAAGAAATCATTTCCACAAGGTAAAGAAGATAGAGTGATACTGTATTTATCTGAAAACAAACAACAATATTAAAAGGTTAAAGGAAACAATAAAAATATTATGAAACTCAAAGGAAAAGCCAAAATTAGAAGTAATTTTTTCTATCAATAACATAAAAAAAAAAAAAAAATACCGCTTATCTTACTCCAAAATAAATGAGCTGTGGCTTCAGTTCACAATAAAATATCAGCTATGTATATATAAAACTCTAAAATCTTCAAATTCATTGTGATGGGTAACACTTGATTAGGGAAATGGCTGCACATAAAATTTACCAACTGTTTCTACAACATTTGTTTCTAAGATTTATTTTCAGACTCTGATAGTTGTGTTTTAGAATAGTTTTGCCCCCCAGGTAGTTATGTAATATAATGTCAAACCATCTCAAATGTTTATAAATGCAAAAGGTATTGGCAAGTAAGACATTACAACTCTGTCAGTCAACCATAATCATCATAAACAAGATGCAGTGCACCTTAAAAACACTCTTATTGTCAGAGAATACAGAATTAATATAAGCACCTGCAGGGAACCTATTAATTTTAATCAGTGGTATAACATAATTCAAAATGTATTGATTTCTTTTTTGTCATTCTTTTAAAGATAGATATTATACAATCTAATCATGAAATAATAAAGAAAATAAAATGTACTTTAACAAATAAAAAGACTCACAGAATAAAAAGACTTACAGAATCCTAAACTGAATGTATATGAAAATTGTCTCAAGTAAAGCGGCAGTGAAAAATACATGCTACAACACTGATGAATCTTGATAACCTTACATTAAGTGAAAGTAGCCGGTCACTAAGACTACATAGGGTATGATTCCATTTATATGAAATGTCCACAACAGGCAAATCCCACGAGTAAGAAAGTATATTCATGGCTGCCTAGAGCTGAGGGTGTTGGGAGGAAATGGGATGTAAATGCTATTGAGTATGAAGTTTCCTTTTTGGGGTGATAGAAAAAGTCCTAAAATTGATTGTGGTTATAGTTGCTCAATGGTGAATATACAAAACACAATTGAATTGGACACTTTAATTAGCTGAATTATAAGTTATATACTAAAACTCAATAAAGCTGTTATGTTATGAATAAATAAGCAGGGAAAAGAAGCAAAGGCATTATTGAATTTAACCAGAAAAATACAAACGGATTAAAAACACAAGGAAAGTGAGATGTGCTTTTGTTCCCATGCAATCCCAACCCAGAAGATTATTACCCTCTGACAGCCTTGGTGGCTGGTGTCCCCCTTCATTCTCCTCCAACTCTTACTGAGTAGGTGATAAAAAGTTGGGGCAGAAAATTACTGCTGCCCTGGAGATTTTGGACAAAGCAGCCTGAATACCATCCAGGGCCTTGCACTGCTGGCACCCCTCTCAGGAATCAGACCTGTCTCAGATGTCTCCTGACTTCTTAGGGTTCAGAGGTTAGTGGGTGTCAATGTCTTGTCAAGGCTCAAGGTTTCAAGGAACTTTGACGGCGTAGTGCCTAAGGCATTTGACTGCTAACCAGAAGGATGGTGATTCAAACCCACCAGCTACTCCTCGGAAGGAAGGTCAGGCAATCTACTTCTGTAGAGATACTGCCTCAGAAACACCAGGAGGGGTCACTGTGAGTTGGAGACAACTTGGTGGCACATAACAACAACAACAACAAACTGACATAAACTCTTAAGTGACTTCCCTTGGCACAGGGTGGAAAACAGCCTCATCCATCTGCCAGGTTCACCCAAATATTTTCTTATAGAACTGACACTAAGTCTGTCATAAATCACTGGTAAGGAATTTAATTTGGATGGACAGCCACGTACAGCTATACCTCCAAAAGCTCTCTGCTCCTGACTTTTGGGCTGCTTCTTAGGAAAATGTCAGTAAATGGCATGGCAACATTTATTTAACACCTACTATATGTCACGTCGGGAGCACTGGTAGCGTAGTGCCTAAGGCACGTGACTACTAACCAGAAGGCTGGTGGTTCAAACCCACCAGCCACTCCTTGGAAGGAAGGCTGGGCAATCTACTTCCATAGTGAAACTGCCTCGGAAACCCAAAGAGGGGTCTCTATGAGTCGGATCTCACTCGATGGCAGTGAGTTTGGTTTTTGTATAAGTCAGGTCAGAATTTCAGTGCAGGGCAAAGAGTTATCATGCTTAGCTGATAACCAAAAGGATAAACGTTCATGGTTCAAGTCTACCTGGAGGTATTTCAGAAGAAGGGCCTGATGATCTAATTCTGAAAAATCAATCACTGAAAATTCTATGAAGCACAATTCTATTCTGACAGACCTTGGGTTGCCGTAAGTCAGAACAGGCTAGATAGTAACCGGTTTGCTCTCTTTGGTCTTATTTGTCAGTTACTGAGCTTAAATTCTGGGATACAAAGATAAAGGAGCCATTATAAAAACTTTATTTTAGAGAGTAAAGATATTTGTGTCCAAGCAAAACACACATAAAACCTAGTTATGTTAGTTACAAGGTTAAGGTCAAGAAACATTCATTTAACACTAATCCCCAAGGAATGAGTACAAGAGTTTCTTCTGCAATGAAATGGGGACACTGCAGTTTCTGTGTCTGGGGAGTCATACTAAAATAAGACTACAGATCCCTAGAGAGGATCTGTAAAAAGGACGTATTCTTCTTTTAGGAGGGAATGTGTGAATAATAAATATTTTGTTCTAAAGATTGCAGAACCAAATAATGAACAGGAAGGATGTGCATTAACAATGCATATTACATATCATATTTGTACTCTAACAACAAGGCAGCAGGATGACTAGCTAAAACTGAAACACAGATATGAAAGGAAAAAAGGTGAAATGACATAAAAGCCTAAACTGTATTCTTACCACAGGTATAAAATTTAACATATAATATAACACAAAATTTAAAGACTCCCAAAATGTCTTCTGGAATAACATTTCAATGGTATACTTTTGGCTTTATTGAAGGCTAAGATATTTTTAAATGGACAGTGATTAAAATAAATAACAATGATTAGAGGAAAACTTGTGATTGGTTGTTACACTCTGTCAATTATCTCTTCTTCCCTAGTTTCTAAGTGCTGAAAATTCTTCTATACTTGATAATAAGTAAAAGCTTTTTGTACTGAAAGAACTGTGGGCTTCCTTCTAGATACTAATAAAGTTAACACTTCCTTCTTCTAGACACAATAATCTAGTTGCCCTTCTTGAGTGAGGACCAAGAACCTGCAGTCGGATTTACTGTTCAATCCCAGTGACTAACTCAGCCCTTCTGGTTAACATTTCACTTTCTTCTCCATTTCCTCACTGATTTTCTACTTCTATTTTGAACAATTTATGAAATATTACTTTTTAAAAATTATAAATAGCCTCAAATTTTCTATGACACGAAGTATAAATAGAGAAGGAAAAAAAAATTATCATCTCTTTACCTGAAGATGACCATATTCCTCATAGGAGTAGAATTCATCTCCCGTGTGCACATTGAAAACAGAATGAAGACATGTTGTTGGGCGTGGATCCTGTTTAAACTGTTGTACCTAGAATTGAATATAAAATTTAAATAATGCTAGTAATTCACACACTCACCCAAGATTAGAAATTATACATTGTTTCTGATGAAATCTTTTTATGAAGAAAGCTACCGATTGTAAACAATGAGGGAGCAAAGCAGAACTGCTCCCTGATCTGAAGAAACAAAACACAGAAAAAGTTCCTAAGTATTAGCTTAATAGAGTTAACATAAATGGTAAATATTTAGTTAATGTTTCACAAACATAGCTACTCAAGTATAGTAAGGGGTATGATAATGCATCAACAGCTTTTGCAATATTCTGCATTTTCTTACAACAACAACAACAACAATGGTCAACTATGTGGGAAGGTCATTTGCATCCCACTGTACCACTATTTATAAATCCTTAAACGACACCCAGAAGAAAAAAGTGATTCAGGCCATATTTTATTTCAGTAAGTGTTCAAAATTTCAAATGTTATTTCTTTCTCTAAGGATCACAAATTTTAACCTGTGCTCTGTCAACAGGCTTTTATTTCCCCTTCCTAATATATTCTCATTACTAAATCACCAAATGCAAGGGAACATAGGTCACACATTCATGTATTAATTTAATATAAAATTTAACCATTTAAAAATATTAATACTACATAATCTGACAGACAAATTCCAAGGACAGAAAAAAAAAAAAAAAAAAGCACTACCCACTTTCTGAGCATCTATTCAATTCAACCTGACAAACATATACTGATATCAATTATGTGCCAAGTATTGTGCTAGTCCCTGAAAGGGTAAGATAAACAAAACCAGAAAATGAATAGGAGATATATACAACTCTACGTAAAGGCAATGATTTTCTTCTGTTTTTGAAAAGATATGTGATAATATCTGAGTGGTCATGATCTTGCCTTGTTTCATTTGGCTAGATATGAATACATATACTTTTCTCTACTTCCCGAGATTCTTTTCATCCTTAAAAATCTATCTTCAAAAACACCTTCACTCTTATAAAGTCCTTTTGAACTTCAACCAAAATTCCTTCTTTTGGACTCTCACATCTGAGTACTTATCCCTCAATTACTACTTTTCCTGCCTTGTACTTGAATTGGCTCCTGTATTTCCCAATATTCTCTGAAGAAGGATATTCTGCTTAGTAAAGTAGAAGGTCAGTGAAAAAGAGGAAGATCCTTAATAAGATGGAGTGACACAGTGCTTACAACGATGGGCCCAAGTGTAACAAGGATTGTGAGGATGGCACATGAATGGCCAGTGTTTCTTTCTGTTCTACACAGGGTCACTATGAGTAGGAATAAACTCAATGGCACCTAACAACAACCTTCCCACTATCTTGTAAGCTTCTGGAAGCTACACCATTGAATATGGTGGTTAATAACTACATATGGCTAATTAAACTATAATCAATCAAAATAAAATAAAAAATTTAGTTCCTCAGTCACATTAGACACATTTCAAGTGCTCAACAGACACTATGGCTACGACAGAGTTCAGAAACAGTAAAGCAGGACATTACCACCAGCACAGAAAGCGCTATAGGAAGGTACTATTCTGGAGGACTGATATACCTTGGCATCTCTACAGGGCCTTGCACAAACATACTTCTGTCTGAAGTACCTGATCAACAAAAATAAAAGTCAGGACCTATCACAAGGTAGTCATAACTGAGAGCATGAAGGTAGTGATGTTCATTCTCTTTATTAAGTGGCCACAACATCCAGTGTTAACTCAGAGAAGGTGGCTATCCCTTTTCAGTATCTGAAACAGCTGGGAATAGCTTCAAACTACACAAGTAGAAATCTATGTGGTCACTCCACTTTCACACAATCACGATTATTATCTCAAAATTCTGAACATTATTTTGGGAGCCTATAGAAAAACAGGCTTAAATTAAACCAACAAACATTTTGCCTGACAAAGATGTAAAAGGATAAGGTTTTATCAGTTTAATAAGGCAATAGCTTCAAGTGAGAAGATGGTGTTTGTCATTTGTCTTCAAGACAAGGAAAAACTCAGCGTGACAATTTATATTCAATCACTGTGCCAGGGAAAAACCAACTAGTAGATGATTAAAGATACTCAAATGAGAAATTACATAACTATGCTTTATGTTTTAAAACTGTTAAAAGACAAGCAATTTAAATTTTCAGAAAAAAATAAGACCCAAACTCGGTAAGCTTTGAAGACTAATGGGGCATGCTGTATGTCAATTAGAAACAAAAAATACTCTTGAAAACAGTCAAAAACAAAAGGCCATTAACCAGTATTTTATACTGCATCTGGCATCTGGCAAGTAAAAATGAAAATAATGATTATAGTAAAATTTTTCATACTAAATTAAATCTAGACTAATGTATTCACACATATATTTCAGTTAGTTTTTCCTAAAAATGCTTGTCATTGTGAATAAATGCTTATCATTTGGCAAAAGTAACAATATTTTGTCATTTATTCTTCATTTATAGATGTGAAATAGTCACTTAAAAAAAAAAATCTCAAGAAAGAATCCTGAAAAAAACAATCTTTAAAAAATTTTAATGATTCCTCATGAATTAGGAACGACTTTCTAATATCGTGAACAAGCAATTTTTAAAACAGAGATTTAGGCATAACAGCATTCCTAGCCCACTGTAACGCAAACCTCAGTTGAGAGCTACTAACTGCATGTGCAGTCTACTGGGAAAAGGGAATGCTTCTTAAGGAGTATTAGGGGAAAAGATAATGAGAAAATTGGGATGCAAACATTTAGAGGTAAAATATACCTAGTACTAGTAAGTAGGCATTAGACCAGTGGCGAGACCATAACAGAAAGAAATCAGGCTGCTTTACATTCTGCAACCAAGGACAACTCTATTTGTTCTCTCAAATTTACAAGAAATTAAAACTACCTCTTTTAGCTGGTGATTTTAGAAAATCTAACAGGAATCATGTTTTACGAAGAGAAAACAGATAAATGCCTTAAACTTTTGAGATCATGATTTTATTCTAGAAGACAAAGAGCATGATGCTTGAGATCAAACAGCAAGTAAACAATACAAAATATTTCAATTTTTCTTTAAATAAAGAAAAAATGGTAAATATTTCCCATTTTTAAAATGTTAGCATTTCCTACGGTTATAGAATCATGGAAGAGCCAAGACTAAGGAACAAAACGATGAGCACCATTAAAAGGTAAAGGTATGGTGGGAGGCAGTGACCCAGGCTCCTTGAGTTAGTTTCCTACAGTCATATGTGATTATGAAAGTAGTATCCTCTTTTCTTACTCCAAAAATGTTATGGGGATCAAGAAGGATTATGGGCAATAAAAATGCTTTAGTATTTATAAAACATCTTTTACTTATAAAAATATCAAAGCCACATATTTTATGTAATGTATACTCAGTATGGAGGAGTTCTGGTGGTCCAGTGGTCAAGACACTTGGCTGCTAAGGAGAAGGTCAGTGGTTTGAACGCACCAGCCACTCCATGGGAGAAAGATGAGGCAGTCTGCTTTTACAAAGATTTCCAGCCTTGGAAACACTATGGGACTGTTCTACCCTGCCCTGTAGGGTTGCTATGAGTTGGAATTGACTCAGTGGCCATGGGTTTGGTCTTTTTGGTATAATGAGTATGATCTATATTTTCTTACAACTCACACCTACATTAATCACTGCCATCATACCTACATGGGAAAGGAAACGTTAATCCTTTATAATTTAAGGAATTCAAGGCAGCTTAAGTCACGGTCAAGGTATAATTAAAAGGACACATAATTGTGAAGACTAGTTAGTAAGCCGACTCGACGGCACACAACAACAACCTGTTTAGGAGCTCTGGTAGCATAGTGGCTAAAGCACTTGACTGCTAACCAGAAGGCTGGCGGTTCAAACCCACCAGCCACTCCTCGGAAGGAAGGTTGGGCAATCCTACTTCCGTAGTGATACTGCCTCGGAAACCCAAGGAGGGGTCTCTATGAGTCGGGGCCGACTCGACGGCACATAACAACAACAACAACAAGTTAGTAAGGTTGAATATTATCTAGAAAAGGCCATTAACAACTGGAAAAATAAGTCACAAAGAGAAAGCAAAAGCTTAAAACTCTTATATCATCTTCTATCCACTGTTTTTGCTGTTAGGTGCCATCAAGTCATCTCCAACTCACAGCGACCTTACATACAAAAGAACAAAACACTGCCTGGTCCTGTGCATCCGCACAATCTTTGCTATACTTGAGCCCATACGTGCAGCCACTGCATCAAGCCATCTTGTGGAGGGTCTTCCCCTTTTTCATTGACAATCCACTTTACCAAGCATGATATCCATCTCCAGGGAGTGGTTCCTTCTGACAACATGACCAAAGTAGGTAAGATGAAGTTTGGCCATTCTCATTTCCAAGAGCATTCCAGCTGCACTTCTTCCGGGACAGAGCTGTTAGTTCTTTTAGCAGGCCATGGTATTCTCAGCATTTTTCGCCAGAAAAAAAAAAAATAAGACCCTAACAGAAAAAAATAAGACCCAAACTCAGTAAGCTATGAAGACTAATGGGACATGCTGTATGTCAATTAGAAACAAAGAATACTCTTGAAAACAGTCAAACTCAAAAGGCCATTAACCAGTATTTTACACTGCGTCTGGCATATGGCAAGTAAAAACCACAACTCAAAAGCATCAACTCTTCTTTGGTCTTCCTTATTCACTGTCCAGCTCTCACATGCATAAGAGGCAACTGAAAATACCATGACTTGTGTTAGGCGCACCTTAGTAGTGATACCACCTCAGAAATCCAAGGAGGGGTTGCTATGAGTTGAAATTGACTCAACACCAGTGAGTTGAGTTTAGCCTTCAAGGAGACATCTTTGCTCTTCAGCAATTGAAAGAGGCGTTTTGCAGCAGATTTGTCCAATGCAATACGTCATCTGATGTCTTGACTGCTGCTTCCACTGGTGTTGATTGTAGAACCATGTAATATGAACTCCTTGACAACCTCAATCTTTTCTCCATTTATTGTGATGCTGTTTATTGGTCCAGTTG